TGAGGCGATACCTCCACGACGAATTGTGTCCGGATACTCGGTAAACGGAAGCAAAGAAGCTAGATGTGCTTCGTGAGATCCTTTCGAATGACCTGTTGTCTGTCCAGATGACAGGAAAAAGTGACGTCCTTCGGGTAGCTATGTTCATCAGTTCCTGGTTCTCTATACTAGAAATCAACTCCATACCGTGCTGACATTAGCGAACACGCTAGCTAGAAAGTGTAGTTTGCCTTTTCTTTCACTCTTCCCTTCATCTAGTGTTCCTGACGTAGCGAATGCCTCTACCAAGAGGGGCAAAGCTCGCTCCTGACGAGTGGGCCCCTCTGGGTATGGGAATGGAGGGGGTGATGTGACACATCGTGATTGAACAGGATAAATGTCTTTTAGTGTGTCGCCATCTTTTGCTATAATGTCAACCCTCAGATCCAAAAGACTCTTGCAGACACCAGGCTGTGCTGTTATATTGGACAATAGCATGCATGCAAGATCTGAGAGGACTGAAGCTGGATGCTGACGATAAAAGTCAGTATTGTCTATTATTGAGAGACTTCTTGCGCACCAGGATATAGGACACTAGAAATGTTAAAAATAAGGATTCTGAGAGTGAAGGTGATATTAAACTTGAATCAGACAAGTTCACTAAAGCCCGGAAGGCATCATGGGCTGTAGCCTATCTGTTTTGGTAAGTCATCTGTGGCACAGTCAGCACTACTAGCCACAGACCGGTTGATCACGGCACAACAACTTCAAATCGCGAATCACTTCTGGTTCAGAGTATGCTTTAAGACCTCCGGAATTGATACCAGAAAAGAACAATGTGCGAAAAGGAGAATTCGTCGCAGTGAGGGGGAGAAGATTTGCCAAAGCAACATTTCGCGCATTCGGATTCCGATCATGCAAGAATGGAAGAACCTTAACAATAAATTTAGTTGGTCAGATATTGGTGGGCTAGATACTCACCTCACGGTACTGTTTGAGTTGTTCCTGCATATTGGTGAAGATAAAGCAAGCCCTTTGGACACCACTCACTTCAGGCTGCCCCCCGAACCAAAAGCGAATCCACGGGGATATTGACATGCCTGACTCCAGACCTGCTCAAACATATAGCACTTTGTTAGAAGACAGAAGAATAATAGAGTCCGCTGCAGAGGCCAATGAATCGCCATCCCTTGTTGTGCACCTTCTCGAAAAGGACTGGTCCATCAGACCTGGCAGAGCTCCGAATAATGCTGGAGCAAGGCGTTTCTCGTACTCAGAGCCTATCTCAGTGAGTTAGCTCTCTCTTTCAAGTTCCTTTAGGAATACGAGGTGACCCTTTTTAGGGGCTGCTCGATGATATCCAAGCAAGAAGAATCCCAGTTGAATTCACAGATATATTTAAGAAGTTGGATGTGAAGTTCTTCGAAGGTTCTCTTTTCGGTTTCTCTTGATGAGAGCACCAGCTGACACTTCTCTACTATGTTGATAGGCTGTCTCATCGTGGAGATGCACGATTCACGGCCGACAAAAGGGGGCCCCTCTAAGAACGTTGAAGCTCGTATCGATAAATATGTCCTTCGTCCAACCGCAGAGTCGTTATGGGCAGAGATTCGTAATGTCGTTGATGGACAACAGGGCTGGGGGGATAAAGAAGCACTTGAGCTTGAAGCTCGTATAGTGGTACGCATATCCGTGTTCTCTTGTGAACCTTTACTGATGTATGAATGAATCCCAGCTTGCCACAGCACCCCCGTTATGTCTCGATCCTTCTCCGACTGTCAATAGGATTGCCAACGTGATTACTAGAATCGGTGCATACCCTACCAAGACATCACTAAAGCGGAGGCAAAGCGAAGATACGGAAGATGATATCGACAGCCTCAAGAGGAGGAAGCTGATGCAGTTAATGAATCCTAGAGTTGGCAAACCTTTCGTGCCGAAGTATGTATCTTCGGGATTTAATACGGCCCTATTTGACCTGAGATTATAGATACAGGGCTTTGATGCACAAGGATGCGGCTAGTCAACGTCCGCCCGTTGAACCTACCACCGTCCCAACCACAATTACCAATGGTGGTTCAGTTGTTGCTACGTCATCTACGATGGCTCAAGGGTTACAATTAAGGCCCAATGTACCTCCCACCGCCACTACAGCCGCTGCTCCTACCGCACAGCCGATTGCGAATGTCGCTCAAGCTGGTTTAGCGGTCCGACCGCGACCAATGCCACTCAAGATTGGTCCTGATGCCCAGCATGCTGCAACTCTAAGTTTGGCTGCTCGAAATCGAATAAGTGCTGCACAGAATCTAGTTGCTGCCGCACAAGGCGGCCGGCCTCTGCCACAAGTCGCTGGCCAAGTAGCTGCAGCTATAGTGAATGCGGCAGTAAC